ATAATTTCTGCCTCGCGTGCCAAAATCTTTCCGTGCGCGGCGAACGAAAGCTATCTGCTTACGGATTGTCGTAACAGCGCATGCGTAGTATACGAAAGTAAACATCCAAGATGGCGGCGCAAAATGAATTGCTGGCCGAGGCAATTTTAGAGGACAAACTTACTGGCTATTTCTTTCACCGCACATTCCCTTTTGTCCCTATTTCTAAAATCTGCAGAACTCACACCGTATAAACATTTGTATTCAGGCCAAAGGTCGACAAGTTTGTCCTCTAAAATTGCCTCGGCCAGCAATTCATTTTGCGCCGCCATCTTGGATGTTTACTTTCGTATACTACGCATGCGCTGTTACGACAATCCGTAAGCAGATAGCTTTCGTTCGCCGCACACGGAAAGATTTTGGCACGCGAGGCAGAAATTATCAAACATGTTAAGGCCGGCGCACACTAGAGCTATGTGCTTAGCAAAATGTCATTCGTGACTGTTGGCGTAAGGAGATAGCTCTCGTGTGCGGGCGATTTACGAACGACTTTTGTCATTCGTGCCACTTACGCCAAATATCTAACATGTTTGATAATTTCTGCCTCGCGTGCCAAAATCTTTCCGTGTGCGGCGAACGAAAGCTATCTGCTTACGGATTGTCGTAACAGCGCATGCGTAGTATACGAAAATAAACATCCAAGATGGCGGCGCAAAATGAATTGCTGGCCGAGGCAATTTTAGAGGACAAACTTGTCGAACTTTGGCCTGAATACAAATGTTTATACAATGTGAGTTCTGCAGATTTTAGAAATAGGGACAAAAGGGAATGTGCGGTGAAAGAAATAGCCAGTAAGCTTATAGCAGTAGCTAGTAAAATAACAACACCTCTTCGTCTTCACATTCATCCATTGTGTGAGCTGTTCGCCATCTTGGATGTTTACTTTCGTATACTACGCATGCGCTGTTACGACAATCCGTAAGCAGATAGCTTTCGTTCGCCGCACACGGAAAGATTTTGGCACGCGAGGCAGAAATTATCAAACATGTTAGATATTTGGCGTAAGTGGCACGAATGACAAAGTCATTCGTAAATCGCCCGCACACGAGAGCTATCTCCTTACGCCAACAGTCACGAATGACATTTTGCTAAGCACATAGCTCTAGTGTGCGCCGGCCTTTATGCCATGGGCATGGGTGTTTGGTATAACCTTATTTAATTCTGCTCCATGACTATATAGAATGCGGTTATTTATGAAAACTGCATGCATGAAAAAGTTATACATGTTGACGTCTGAAT